TCATCTTATTGAAATCTATTATACTACTCCTCTATTATTTTTTTATTTTCTAGAAAATATAACGCATCTGCTTATAATAACAAAACATTATATCACTTTAACCAAGCCCAAATTATAAACATATTTGAAAGAACTTGAAGGATAGAAAATTTTGAAAAATTAATAACATCTATTCGATATTATAATCATACTTCTAGTAAAAAATTTGATTAAATAATAACTGAATTAAATTATTACTGAAAAGAAAAGAGATGCTTTTTTGTATCTGCTTCTATATCTGAAGATAGTCAATACAATAACAACTCTAATTTAGAATCTAAATAAGAGTCTGAGTCCAAAGCTAAATCTGAATTTAAATCTATAGCCATGAGTCATAACAGAAATAGTAAAGGTTCTCAATCTGAAGATAACAGAATAGATGTAATTGATAATGTAGAAAATATGATTATTAATAAAGACAACTCACATCAAGATGCTCAAGATACACTATTAGTAATAAAAGAGAACCTGAATATAGAAATAACAATGAAGAGCCTACTCTAGCTGAATTAATAGAACAATTAATTATTGGACTAGGACAAGTATTTATCAATAATTATAATAGATTTAAAGAAGCAAAGATTGTAGATTTTTCTATTTTCAAAGGAGATGAAGAAGATCCAATTGCTTGGTTTGAAGCATTTAATAATGCAGCGACTGTAAATAAAATTAGCAAAGAAAGAAGATTAGAAATAGTAGCTAACTACTTAAAAAGAACAGCTCTTATCTGGTTTAACCGCTATAAAACAATATTTACTAGTTGGGATAACTATTTTACTGTTAACAATATGCATTACTCCTTCAAATATCAATTTGAAAAGCAATTCAGAAGCTCATATCGAATTACTCAATAGTACTATATTTTAAAAAATAGAAAACAAAAACCTGGTAAAACTATTGAATTCTATTTCTCTGCATTAGAAGAATTATGAAAAAAAGTAGATTCAGATAAAAGATATCCTAATAAAGATAGAAAAAAACAATTTACAGATGAGTTACGTACTGAATTCCATATCCCTGTTGAATCAGCTATGTCAGAAGATCTACATGATGCTGTTGAAAAAG